GCTTTTTAGTGGTGAGGCTTGATGTGTTTAGAGTTACATTTTTCTGGAGAGACAGGATATTATGCAAAACAGCAAGAGAGAGCTGTTGATACCCACAGTTTCCAGTCACATTCCTATGGTGTTTTGGCAGAAACTCGACATATATATAGTCATCTGCGGCTTCAAAATCCTGGGTTTAGACCTCCAGCGACTAAAATCTTCCCGGAAACGGCGCCAAAAACTTGATGTTGGGCCTAGGGTCCAAAGTTTTAAATTTAGAAAATCCTAGTGTCTGCAAGTGCATAGATGTACGTTGTAGGACTTAGAGTGTCGATCCACAGGGAAGATGTCTAATCTGCAAGAAAACCAAATGGAAGAGTAAGCAAAGTCATAAACTCATGGGGATTTGGGGTTTATGGTTACGGATTCTAAACTAGTCATAATCTAATATTTACAGGAAATAAAATGCAATGCAAATGAGTTGCTAAAAGAATATCTGAAGGGTGTTCGACTCAAACTATAGACTCTAGACTCATAGTGGGCGATTTAGACTTCTTTGGTTTACGCTAATCGATGTCAAAGTATTTCCAATTAGCTTTCGGACAATTTATCTTCATCTATCTTCTGGGATCTGCATGGAATTGGAATAGACATGTGTAAGATTAAGCAACTCTTGCCATCTTAATCAACTAATCACTTAAATCTGACATTTAACTCTTGTTCTCATGCCAGAAATAAGATCATGCATTAACTATTGAATTCGTTTGCTCACATCATCTCTACAGGTAGCTCTCGATTCCTGTAGTGACTATGTTCTTCTGAAGCTAGGTATGGATGATCTAATACAACACTCTCGTGGCTCTGATCGATCCTAGGCTTAGAGAATAGGTCATGAATCTACTCTCATGCAATATGAACAACTTAGAAGACATGAGATCCAGAATATGGTTTAGAAACTTAGAAATCCTAATCGAACATGTATACCTATCGATGACTCTTTAGAAACTTCACTCTCTGGGACTAATCTAACATGATGCAAGGAATGATAAAAGACATGAAAGAATGCAAAGATGAAACAGAAAAGTTAATTAGATTAAAAGGAGAAAGAACAATGGATCCAGGGAAGAATCCCCTTCTCCATCGCCTAACCCTAAAAAAAAAAGTTTGGTGGCTCAACATCTCATTACAGGAGCACACACCGGTTTAGGGCTGCTAATAAAAGTATTTATAGGTCCTAAAGTCTTCCAGGTCTCATTTAGGGCTTCTCTGAAGAGAAATTGCGAAATGGGCTCTGATGTTGGGCTTTGTGGCTCGGCATAGGTCCACCGGAGGTGAAAGTCTTCTGGGGCAGGTAAAACACTTGTTTTCCGCAGGTGAGAGTCTTCCAGAACTGGTGTATTTGGTCAACTTGTTCTTCATGTATCTTTTGATTGCACCGTTGGATCTTTCTAATGTAAAGTTCTATGGAAAGCTGGTTGTCTCCTCTAGAATGTCTCCAAATTTGAGCTGGATCAGACTATGCGAAAGTCTTCATTTGAGGCTGAACTTCTGACGGTCTGACTCTGAGCTAAAAATGTGGATTTTCTCCATTTTGCCATTTTTGTCCCTAAGTTTCCTGAAAAGAGCCTTGACACTACAAATATAGAGAAATCATAATAAAAGTTCCTAAAACTGATTAAAACCTTTGAAAAAGCATTTGAAATCAATGGTGAAATTGGGTACAAATACGGTGTTATCAGCACACTACATTGATGAAAAGTGGGTTTTAAAAAGATTATCTTAGGCTTCAAGACGATCATAAGGGGAAGACTATTTGTGATGTTCTTCTCGAGTGTTCGGCTGATTGGGGAATCAAGAAGGTGTTCACAATCATGGTTGATAATGCCTCCGCCAACAGTTCTGGAATGAAGAGATTTGCATAGGATTTCAACTTACTCGGTACTGATGCATTAGTTTTAGGAGGTGAATTGATGCATGTGCGTTGTGCTTCTCATATTATTAACTTAGTGGTAAAAGATGGATTGCGTGGGACTGAAAAAAGTGTATCTGCCATTCATAATGGTGTTACATTTATGAGAGCTTCTACAAACAGGATCAAAGCATTCCACTTAAAAGTGGAATCATGAAGGATGACAATGGGCAGTTTAACTTTGGACTTCAAAACGAGATGTAATTCAATCTACCTCATGCTACCAAGAGCCCTTAAGTTCAGGACACGTTTTGATAGAATGAGAGTAGAAGATATGTTGTATAACAAATACTTTCGAGAAACTGTGGATGGAAAAAAAAAGAGGCAGACCAGCCACGAAAGAGGACTGGGATTCAGCTGCAAGGTTAGTGAAAGTTCTTGTTATCTTTTTAACTCCACATTAGTAGTTTTGGCGTCTTCTACAGTCAACTTCTATAAGTGTTACAATGAAATTGTAACTACAAAACAAAATCTGATAAAGATGTGCAATGATCCTGATGAAACAATAAGGAAAATGGCGAGAACTATGAGAGAAAAATTTGATAAGTATATGGATGGGTTAAAGAATATCAATAAGTTGTGATTATAGCTAGTATATAAGACCCAAGTCACAAGATGAGGTTTACCAATCTTTGCTTTGAGATGATTCACGGAAAAGATACTCCTGAGTTTAAAGAGCTTCAAGATTCTGTCACAAAGGTTTTGGAGAAGCTGTTTGATGAGTATAGCTGCAATGTCAACAGAACTGAGACATCCTCTAAATCCACAGGGACATCTCAGAGTGGGGCTAGATACTCAAGAATAACAAGATCAGGTGCCCAAAACTATGTTCAAAAATATGGATTTAGATTTTGATAGTGGCTATGAGAGAATGGATTTTGTGTACAAGAAGTTGGTAGAAGAACAAGGAGGTGAAGATCCAAGTTCAGAGTTGGATATATACTTGAGGAAAAAATATGAAATTCAGAGTATGATGTCTTGGGTTGGTGGAAGCTAAATAGTTATAAGTTTCCAGCGTTATCTGAGATTGCTAGAGATATGTTTACTATGCAGGTACCTTCTTTGCCTCTGAGTCAGCGTTGAGCATAAGTGACCGAATCTTAGATCCTTATAAGAGTTCCTTGACTCACTATATGATCGAGGTATTGATGTGCACTGAACAATGGTTGAAGTGTGAAATTCGCATAAATGATCAAGAGATTGTCACTAGAAGAAATGCTTGAAGAGATCAAATTACAAGATAAACTTCAGAGATGTAAAGAAGTTCTTAGAAGCCTCTTTTGAACTACTTTTACGTTTTATGTTTTACTTTTAAGTACTTTGAATTGCTTTCACTTTTCAGATTCTGAATCTCAAGGCAACTTTGAAGATTGAAAAGTCTGAAAATTATGAAACTCTTTTTCGGTTATAAGGTAATAATCTCTTTCTTCAGACTTTTTTTTGGTTATTCCAATAGTGTTTGTCATTCACAATGAGTCAATGACTTATTCCAATAGTGTTTGTGGATCACGTTTTCATCTTCACATGTTTTCACGCTTTGTGGATCATATTACTTGAATAATTGAACAAGTGTTCACCTTCTTTATAGGATTGAAGACAGTCATGCAAGCAATGAGGGAATAGTTATATTATGTTTTTTGGTTGTGTCGTTGCTTGTTCTTTGTATTCTTTGTCTTCGTGTCTTCTTTGTTTTTTGGTTGTGGATCATGTTGCTTGTTATTTGTCTATTTGAATAGTTGAAAAAGTTATTGGTTTGCCTTTGTTTTTTGTTCATCTTTGCACTTTGTAGTTTAAATTTACCAATCAATCAGTTTAAAGTTATCAGTTCACTTGTTTTTTAGTATTACGTTAGTTGGTCGGATTTTTTTCCGGATAAGTTGGGTTCTCGGGATTAAATCAAACCCTATAAACCCCAAAATTAGTTTCGGTTTTGTAGCGGTTTTCAATTAAAGTTTAAATCTGATCCGAACCCAAGAAAATCCGATCCGAACTTAACCGAATATTTATCGGGTCTAATTTGGATTCTGACATTTCAAAATTTAGACAACCAAAACCCCTAAATTTGAAACAAACCCAAACCGTTAATCCGAATGTCCAGGAAAAACCCAAACTACGTTTTCATGGAAAGACGACTAAACTAATAATACGAAAACGCATGTTTTACAATGAAGTAGGCCTATAGATATTAGAATAAAATAGGTTTTAATGATCTAATAACAACAAAATTTATCACATCACTTTAAAATACACATAAGATAATAAACAAAACTGACATATGACAAAAAAAATAAATATGACATATCTGTATAAAAATACATATAAAATCGCTTTGAGAACAACATATAAAACTTTTGACTTCACGAATAACAGTATAGATAAATAGGTTAGCTTTGAATATGTTTATGTTAATTCAATGTTACTTTCGGCAAATAATGTATAAGTGTATTAGGTTAGATATGTATATATTATTATATGGTCAAATGGGTTAGATAGCAAATGTCACTATTTGTAATGCCAACATTTTGTAGGTTTCTAGTTTCTACACGAAATTTGAAATTCAATCACAATTAATATACATATTGTAATTTTTTTATTTAAATCGTGTGATATAGGTTGAACCGTCCGACATAGTTGGTGTACAGTTGGTTAGAAAGGTAGATAATAATTCTCGAATTGTTATGAATAAACTATTTAGTGTTGCGTAACAGAGAGCATGAAAGCAAAAAATATCTCAACAACACATGTGAAGAAGAAAAAGTCTTCAACAATGCAAAATCAAATCTGACAAAAAAAAAAAAAATTCAAAACCACGTCACGTGATTAAACCGAAAACACAGGGTGAAAGACACGTGCCTGCTTGTTGCTTACAAACAGAGAGCCAGGCTTAAATTTTTCTTCTCATCTTTGACAATTGGCCAACAATTGGCAATTTCGATGGCAAAATCGTAGTTTCAGACACAACCAAGTGGCAAATCTAAAACTCTTTGTTATTGGTTTTGTCTTTCTTCTTCCACCTCGGACTCATCGGACACTACTTACTACAGATTCAAAGTCTTAAAATTAAAAAAAAAAAAAAAAACCGAACCTTCTCGTCTCTACATTTTCCTTTCTTCTCTGTTCCATTTTCTTCTTCGATTTAAAAAAATTTCGAAAAAATGTTGAAGCTTTCGTGTAATGTGACTGACAAGCTTCAAGGCTTCTTCTTCCTCTCGCATTCTCATCAATCGGATCCGTTACATCGGAGAATCGTCTCCTCCGTTTCTTGTTCTCAGCTGAGAAAACCGGGTTTGGATCCTCTACGAGCAATTGCATCTGTTAATCAAGGGAGTGTGCAGGGTTTGGGGACACTCGCGGATCGGCTCCGATTAGGTAGCTTGACGGAAGATGGTTTATCGTATAAGGAGAAGTTCATCGTCAGATCCTACGAAGTTGGGAGTAACAAAACCGCTACTGTCGAAACGATTGCTAATCTCTTGCAGGTCAGATTATAAAAATTCCCACGATTTTTGTGTGTGTTTTCTGATTTTGATTTTCGATGATTGGTTTTGGTTCCTCGAAAATCACGCACATGTCGTTTTCTAAAGAATATCAACTTCGTTATATATTGATTCGTGAAATGATGAAACTTTGAGATTTGGTGTTTGTATGAATCTTGAATTTGGTCAATTTTTAAAGACGAGAAAGTTTGTATGTGTTTCTGATTTTGTTTTTAAATGATTGGTTTTGTTTCCTCACGCACATGTCGTGTTTCTAAAAAAACCATCAATTCTTGAACTGATGAAACTAAATATTTGATATATGTATGATTATGAATCTCGATTTTGGTCAATTTTTGAAGACAATAACTTTTGTTGTTGGTTTGATGGAGATTTTGTAAATTTTTAGGAGGTGGGATGTAACCATGCACAGAGCGTTGGATTCTCGACTGATGGGTTTGCAACAACACCAACCATGAGGAAACTGCATCTCATTTGGGTCACTGCAAGAATGCACATTGAGATCTACAAATACCCAGCTTGGTATTGGTTCTTGCTTGCTTCTTGTATCCATCTATATGTGTGTGTTGTGACAAGAAATAAGCAGAGTTTTTGAATCTGTTTGCTTCTTTTCTCTTTGGTGGTTACTACAGGGGTGATGTGGTTGAGATAGAGACATGGTGTCAAAGCGAAGGAAGGATCGGTACAAGGCGAGATTGGATTCTTAAGGACATTGCTACTGGTGAAGTCACAGGCCGTGCTACAAGGTTTTTCTTTTCATCATTTTCTACCTTTCATGTACAGTTCTTGTGTTTGTGGATGTGTACAGTGTTAGCTTTCTTCATTGGTTTGGTACCTTATGTTCTCTTCTTTGTGCCATGGACTTACATACTAGACGTAGACCTTAAGTTTTCAGTAACTTGGGTTTAATGGGACTGTCCTGATTTGTTGTTTGACATGTGATATGGTCTCAGCAAGTGGGTGATGATGAACCAAGACACAAGACGGCTTCAGAAAGTCTCTGATGATGTTCGGGACGAGTACTTGGTCTTCTGTCCTCAAGAACCAAGGTAAAACGACTGCTTGTTTCCATGGTGGCTTGATTAAAATCGTTATCACCATGAATGTTAACTAGGTTGTTCTTATGTATATCTTGTAGATTAGCATTTCCAGAGGAGAATAACAGAAGCTTGAAGAAAATCCCAAAACTTGAAGATCCAGCTCAGTATTCAATGATTGGGCTTAAGGTAAAATAGAATTACAGTACTCTTTTCTCCATTTTAAGGCTTTAACATTCCTTAAGACTCTTTGTAATCATGATTTTTGCAGCCGAGACGAGGTGATCTCGACATGAACCAGCATGTCAATAATGTCACCTATATTGGATGGGTTCTTGAGGTGAGTCACCAGAAAAGTTCCATTTTTTTTGTTTTCAATGGGAACTTGTAGTAAACCACATGATCTTGTTTCTTGATAAAAATGCAGAGCATACCTCAAGAAATTGTAGACACGCACGAACTTCAGGTCATAACTCTGGATTACAGAAGAGAATGTCAACAAGACGATGTGGTGGATTCACTCACCACCTCAGAAATTGGTGGGACCAACGGCTCTGCCACGTCAGGCACACAGGGCCACAACAACGATAGCCAGTTCTTACATCTTCTAAGGTTGTCTGGAGATGGTCAGGAGATCAACCGTGGTACAACCCTGTGGAGAAAGAAGCCCTCCAGATAAGAAAATAGCCATTTTGTTCTCAAGTTTCTCTATCAGTCTCCATGAAGATTTTGCTTCACGAGTCTAGTCAGGTCTCATTTTGTTTGATATAAGTTTGGGTTGGACCAGAGGGAAAACTGGATTATTGAAGTTGTCTTTGTTGAACTTAAAATGATGTTTTTGTTCTTGTTCTGTACAAATTTTGAGGATTTAAGCCAAACCCATTTCTTCTTAGGGTCTTGTCTTGTGTTTCTGCGTGTATCTTATCGTAAACTCAAAACAGAAAGATTGTTCATCAGATGTTTTTATTACTCTATTGTTATTTGATAAGTAAAACAAGTTACAAGTATCTTCACGGGTTCTTGAGACACGCAAGCAACATAGCATCGGTTACAACCTAGCTCCTTTCTCTCTCAAAGCATCCATTAGTTAGTCAATGCCTGAGGATATCCCAAATACTTTGCATCAATGGAATTTTCAATCTTCACCAATCTGAATTTCCTTCCACTTCTGATGCATTCGGTTTTTGTGATCGCTGCACTTCCTTGTCTAAGAATCGCTCGTTGAACCTTGATTGCTTGTTGCATCCTGGATCGAGTTTATCCAAGTTGTTCAAAGACAGAGTATCATAAGCTTCGCCGAACTGTTTCGAAGCAGTGGAGCACACAAAATCTCACCATCTCGTTGATTGATTTCTTCTAAATCTCATATGTACCAAGTTTTGTGGAGATTCATATTTAACATTAATATTGTTTTGAGCTTTGTCTTTTACTGTCTCACCGTCTAACAATTAAATATAATGTTCCTTGAAGAGCTAGTTACTATTCTTGTAGAACTTAGCCTTTCCATGTCCACCAACATGTTCCGCTTTAGTTCAGGACTATACCTGATGTTAATTAGAATTTTGACAGACCCTTCATAGATCTTGCTATTTATGGAACCGATTCCTAATTCCTTCAACTCCAACCGAGTTGTCATACCCGAGTCCAGAAGTGAGCTCATTAAATGTATAAAACCTGTCTCTTTGGGATGTCATGTGATATGAACTTCCTGAGTCAATAACCCACTTCTTATGATGCGACTGATATGAGATTCACAAATTATCAACATCTTGCAACAAATCTATTACCACAGCTGCTTTTAGCACATTCCACATTCTCAAGCTCCCTTTTTCGAGCATAAGAGTACTTTTTAGCTGGCCTTCTTTCTTGCAATAACCAACAAGTTACTCTTAGTCCTGACCTTAATATCTTATTTCTATTGTATTTAGTTGTTTTTCTTTTCTCTGATCTTTCTTAAGCAATATAGGCCTCATCACTTCTCTAAGAACCACTTTGATTGGCATTTCATAACTCTGTCTATTTAGAATTTCCAGAGCTTGTCACATCCTCTATAATAAGTATGTATATAATCGTATTTGAGAGTCTCTTTGAGATAGTTATAACGAGATGGTAGAGAGATTAAGCAATAAGATTTGCTTGTACTCCCATTGAAACAGAGACTTTCACACTGCTTAGACCAAATACCAGCTTCACGAAATCATCAATATTTTATCTAGTGATTTTGATTTACCATTTTGAAAATGTAGAATTTTTTGTTGCATATGAATCCGATTGGGAAGTAATTGTATAAATTTGCCATCGTAGACCTATTGTGCATTTTTTTTAGTTTCCTCATAACATGATCTCTGATGTTAAGAATGATCATGTTCATCACCTTTTCTGATCTTTCAGGTCTATCATATTCTTCTTTCTTTACCCTTTACTTATAAGGATTTTTGACTTCGCCTTTCTTTTCCATATTTTAGTCGCTTATGAATCTAATTTTGTCATGCAAAAGCATCATTTTCTTCCACATCAAGAAATCTCCTTGGCCATCGATTCGTGTGTTCGTCATTGATTTTCCAAACTGAGGCTCTGATATCATTTGTTGTGATTTAGCTCAAGTTCAGCTCGCCAATTCAAGGAATAGATTGTTGATCTTAACCCAATTAACCCAAACACTAATTCTCTAAATCACTCAAAAAGAAAAAGAATTAAACAATTCCAAACGAGCAAGAAAACCAGAAAGAAGATATCACTCAAAGCAATTAAGGAGTTCAGGTTCTCAAAATGAGAAAGAAACCCTAAGTATCCGACTTAAAAAATCTACTATCCACTATTTTTTTCACCATTCTGCTATGCAATTATAGAGTATTTGGGAATCTCAGATTCTACCACGCAATTACAGGCTATTTGGCTGGTGCTATCATTTATTTCTTAAAAGTAATTTTGTCTTAATAATTTTGACAATCTAAATAAGATATGAAATATGAATCTCTAATGGCAAAAAAACACCTTGTCAACTAAAAGTCATCGACTTGTGTGGATCGTAGTCTTATACGTTTCTAGTATCAATTTGTGCAAAAATTGAGCTAACATTTTAGATATATTTTTATTTCAAGATCAATTTCAATCATGTGATTTACAGTTCTATATTTTGTAATGCAAGTTAAAATTTCCAAAACTCTCATATTTAATAGCTTCTTACATAAACTGGAAAATCAAAACAAACATTTTTTCGTCATGAATATTAACTACAAATTCAGAGAACAAAGAAAATATTGATACATGCTTTGATCTTTAACATTGGAAGATAGTTTTTGTCATATTTGATAGATTCATTACAGTGAAACAATTCATGAGGCATTGAGAACTATTTGGAGAAGAACTTGCGTGTATTTTTTTCTGCAAAAACTGCAATTACAGAAACAATTAACATGTTTAAGAGAGCATTAATTAAGCGTCATTTTATTCATAGTCAATTACATAGAAAATCATTTATTTTTCCCAATACTCATTTCTTACCGTTAAAAAACTTTGAGAACATAGTCTACAACAAAGGTTAGAAAACAAGTGATCATCATTTACTCTTTTTTTTTCATCATAAAAACCTAAGAATTTGATCAAACCAACAATTCCATGGTGAAATTAGAGACTTGGATATAATTGGTTCATTTGTCTAGACTCTGAAGGTTTGAGCGAATCAAAGATGTAGAGATTGAAAAACAGAATAAAACCTCTCAACTTTGCATTTCATTTCAAGATAAATTTTAGGTTACATCGAGAGAGATTATTTTATAGAAGGTGAAAGAACATTCTAGATAAGATCAGGTGTTATTGTAGACGAAGCTTCAGGTTGAACAGACAAGTCTCTAAGCCTTTTTGTTCTCAGGTTTTCTATCTGTCTCCATGAAGATTTTGCTTCACGAGTCTAATCAGGTCACATTCGTTAATATAAATTTGGGTTTAGACTTTAGACTATAGGGATAGGGAACTGGATTATTAAAGTAGTCTTTGTTGAACTTAAGCCAAACCCATTTCGTCTTTGGGTCTTGTCTTTGTGTCTCTGTGTGTATCTTATCGTAAACTCAAAACAGAAATATTGTTCTGTCAGATGTTTCCTATATAAATGGAGTTTCTTTGACATGAGAGCTGCTGGAAACACCAGGACAAATCATTTTAACATAACACTATGGTTATTTGATTAAGTAAAACAAGTTACAAGGTTGATAACAGATTCTGCTCGTAAAGATGCAAACAATGTGAGATAAAATTTGAGAACTAGAAAATAAACACACTGAATCGAATAAGAAAAAAAGATTTACCGAGTTCTATGTCAGAGCTTCTCAGTTAATCTAATCATGAAAGAGTTAACCGCAGAAGCATCTAAGACGATCCATGAAGACTCAAATAGCTCGTGAAAGTAATCAGCTCTACTTTCTTGAGCTGCTTTTCTGAAAGCATTACCAAAGGCATTGCCTCTTACCGCACCGAGCCTCGGCTTCCCACAAACTCCGACCACAAGTATCTTCCCTGGTTCTTGAGACACGCAAGCGCATAACATCGGTTTCATCCTAGCTCCTTTCTCTCTCAAAGCGTCCATTAGAAAGTAGCAGAACTTCGTCAACGCCTGAGGATACCCCAAATACTTAGCATCAATGGAATCCTCAATCTTCACCCATCTGAATTTCCTTCCACTTCGTATGCATCCGGTTTTGGTGATCGCTGCACTTCCTTGTCTAAGAATCGCTCGTTGAACCTTGATTGCTTGTTGCATCCCGGATCGAAGCTTATCCAAGTTGTTCAAAGACAGAGCATCATAAGCTTCACCAAACTGTTTCGAAGCAGAGGAGCCTCCAGACCCGAGAAACGATTCAAGAAGTGCTGTGATACCGTACACAACATCTGCAGCAGAGACTCTTGAGCTGTATCCATGAAGCCGCAAGAAACTCCTGTAGTAGAAATCGTTTAGACCGTACTCTGGCAAAAACCGATCAAACTCTTGCTTCATTTTTCTTTTCACCTCGTGGCTCATGTAAGGAAACTTCTGCTGGCACTCGATAAGCGCAAATCCCATACGTGCTAGAAGAAGCTTGAGTTTCTTGATCCCGTTGTCACTCCATGTCTTCAATTTAATTGCGATGTACGAGGAACAAAGCATAGAGTCAAACAACGTCCACTCCCTCAGAAGCATAAGCCTAGGCTCTTCTTCGTAAGAGATCCTTGAGCAGTCTGGTGCTCTAACCTTGGTACCGTCTTTCAGAGTAACAGAAGTGAGCTTGTCTATGTTCCCCGAGCTGTTGATGTGTTGCTCAAGCTCCATCACCGCAGCTTGGTATCTCTCATCAGTCAACCTCTCGTGAACAAACTGATCGGTTAAAGAAACACAAGCCAGCCAAAGCAACTCGTTCGTGTTCTTCCTCAACATGTGTGATAGCTCAAACAGCAAGCATCCAGATGGCTTCCCATGGAAAGTCCCCATCCTGTAATAATCCCTCTTTAGCTTCTTAAAAACCTTCACACCATCTCCCATTTTTCTCCTCTTACTTGGCCTATCACCATCACTCTCTTCTTCCTCCTCATCCTCCTCTTCCTCCTCATCTTCTTCTTCTTCATCACTTTCGACATCAGATTCTTCTCTTTCTACATGTAGCTGAAAGCTCTCGTTCGCTAATTTCAACACATCAAAATCGTAAGCCAGATCTGCTTGCCTCTCATCATCATCGGTGTGAAGAACAATAACCTGCTCATTCTGTTCACTCAGGTTATGCAAATGAATAGGTCGGTGACTATCCACCACAAAGACACGAGCCGCAGGACCTAGCTTAAGCACAACCTTCAAATCACGGTGACAACCCCAGTTGATCAACAGTATAGTCACAGGACTCTCCGACGAAGAACACAGCGACCCGTTCGTGGATTTTTGGATATCCGAGAAAGACGATACAGGGAAACACGAGTATTGAATCGAATCTGATTCGAGGATGTGAGTTATGACCTTGAGCGCACAGATTGAATCGACATCAGACGATGAAGGGAATATCATAAGTGGATTCTGAGAAGACGGCGAAGTAGCTGATTCACGAAGTCTAGCATAGAACGATTCTACTTTCTCGATTCTCACCATATCCTTAGAAATTGGAGTTTACCCAGAACAAAATCCCTAAAAACCCTGCTAATAAGAACCCTAATATTATCCAGAAATGGTGGAAGATTCACGAAATTAACTATGACTTCACCAGATTGACGCCACAATTGGATTGAGAGAGACCAGAAATCTGAGATTCGGAGATAAAATCACAGCCAAAGTACCTGAGATTTCGAGTTTCTCCAGTGAATTTGTGAGCTCCGAAATCAGATTCCGTTTCTCTTTCGGCCTCTCTTGAATAGAATCACATCAAGCAAATGAAACAAAGAGGGAATTAGAGAGAGAAGAGAGAGGAGAAGAGAGAAGAGAAGAGAGAGAGAGAGAGTGAGGAAGATGAAGATCTGAAGGTATCTTTCTTCTGGTAATGAACAAAAAATTGAAACTTTTCAATTTTGGTGTTTGTGTATTTGCGGGTTGAAATTTCGAAATATTTTGTTCAAGCGCCAAATTTTTGACGTTGGCGGTGAAATGAGAAAAGAGAGGGAAGGATCCTATGCAACGCCATCCACGGAGAACGAGTAATCTGTACCGTGCGTTTATTCAACTTGTATAAAAGAATCGACGTACATTAACTTTTATGTTTTTAGTCTGACTAGTCAAAGGTCAACTCAATATCAAGAATCAACCAGCTGTTTTTGGTGGACGTCGGTTTAGAATCTGGTAACGTTTGGTCTGGTTCAGTATCTGAAAATACTTGACCCGAACCCTTAATACCGATATATTTGACACCCAAAAATATCCGAACCGAATATCAGAATTGCCAGACCGGCTCGCATTTTATGACTTCGAATTATGAATTGAAATATTGACTCAAAATCAAAGGCTTGAATTTTGTGAACTGAATTTTGGTATCAAACCAAGTCAACGGTTTAATTTACCGGTTTTTTTACCACTTAACGCCGTTAACGGTTTAACTCAAATCCAGGTTTTGATCCAACCCAGACTCAGCTGGTTGGGCTGGTTGAACTGGTCCGACCGGTTTTCAAAACATTGGTCAGCGGTCTGAGATTGGTGCAGAGTGAAAAACAAACTTGGAGGTACCCAAATATCTTTGTTTTTCCAATAAAATCGGTTAACCAAATTGGTTATCCCGTACCAGGAATGTAATGAATCTGCAAGCAGGTCCAAAACTGGAATGATAAACACCAAAAGTATTTAAAAGAAAAATTACAAAAGATACATACAATTTATACTATAATAAGCTTATGCAACTGGGACTGATGCCTTATTCATCTAAAGAAGCTCGAATGTCTGCCATTAAAACCGGTAAACTTACACACTGATTTCTCGATAAGTATATACAATCTTCCGTCAAACATTCCACATTCATTTCCCTCCAAAGCCAAAGCAGCAACACTGTCAATTGCAGAAAGACAAAACCAATGTTGAAATGTGTAAAGATTGTTTTCACTGAGAAGCAAATGAGCTTGAAGTATGTCTTACTTTGGAAGTGTTGGAAGGGTTACTACGGGAGATAGGGTGAGTCGGTGTTCTTGAAGACCCACTCACATTTGCTCCAGAACTTCTCTCTTCACGTACTTTGTTGAAGATGTGTGTGTAACCATCAGCTGAAGCCGGGTTATTCTCGTCCCAATCACCGAATTTAGGCACCACAGTGACTTTCTCAGGCTATAGAAACAGTATGAAAACTCAGATATAGTTAGATAGAGAGCTATTGAACACAAGCAAGAAACAGCCAGCTTCAATCAAGAATCTGACATTCTCTGAAACAAGTGACGCAAGAAGATCAAATTCGACATTTTTGCGGGTAAAAGTGTCAATATTCTGTATTTGAGAGCTATGAAACACAGACATAAGCAAGAAACAGAAAGCTTTAACCAAAAAGCTAACACTCTGTTAAACAAGTGATGCAAACAGACAGAGAGCTTCAAATTTGTACAAAAAAGTGAGATCTTAAATAGCTCTCAAATTTGTAAAAAAAAATAAAAAATATAGCTCTCTAAATATTCTGCATTTGACAGCTATGGAACACACAGACATAAGCAAGAAACAGACAGCTTCAACCAAGAATCTGACATTCTCTGAAACCAAGTGATGCAAACAAACAGAGAGCTTCAAAGAAGACCAAATTTGACATTTTTGCGGGTAAAAGTGATATTTTAAATAGCTTTCAAATATTATGCATTTGAGAGCTATGGAACACACAGATAAGCAAGAAACAGACAGCTTCAACCAAGAATCTGACAACCTCTGAAACCAAGTGATGCAAACAAACAGAGAGCTTCAAAGAAGACCAAATTCGACATTTTTCATTTTTGCGGCTAAAAAGTGTGAGATCTTACGCTTTCATCAGCTCTTAGGTTGGGTTTAGGCCTGGATCTTCCAGTGCCATCATATGAATTCTTATGCAACGGAGACTTGTCGTAGCTATTGTTTTGAGAAGACCTTCCTTGTCTTTTGTTAGCAGCCTCATTCGATGAACCACCACCACCATCACCAAACTGCTTCAACTCGCTCTCGTCTCGGCTTCTCATCTGCTCACGTGACCTTCTAACTGGGTCAGCCTGCTCAGGCTTGGTTCTTGAAGGAGGAGGAGGAGCTTGAGACTGCGAATCCGAGCTATATTCAGGGTCGTTCGGGTTTGTTATCTTGCCTCCTGGAGCTCGAACTTTACGAGCTTTGTCAAAGTAAGCTGTGTAAGGAACATTCTCCTCACCTTCCCAGTTTCCAAATTTGGGAACATTCGAACGCTGTTTTTGCAAGTGATACACACAAATTCAAGATCAGTTCCAACAAGAAAAGGGTAAAATCGTTATAATGACCAGAGCGAACATTCATCACAGACCAAGATAGCAACAACAAGAACAAGAACAACACGTGATTATGTCTTTTGCAATTTCGTTGTCACTAAGAATCGCGAAAGTCTTCGTCAACTGCTAATCCCAAAATGGAAACTTTCTCCATAAAAATGGCAAATTTCCCATATAAGTAGGGAAGCTGATTCAAGAAACTGAGCATAACCCTTTTCTTATCTAACAATCAGAATCATACAACTGAATAATATATCGCAATCTCATGAAATGTTTTCCGAAGAAAATCAAAAAGAAAGAACCTTTTGAAAAAGTGTTTCAGAGATTGACGAAATCGAAACAGAAAGAGAAGAGAAGAGCTGGAGAAACTTACTGCCATGGGAGAATTCTAGAGAGATTGCAAAAGAGATACCTTGAGAGAGAAAGAAGAAGAGAAAGATAGAGAGATGTGAAGGAGAAGAAACGATGAAGAGAGAGAGGAGGAGAGGTTTATCAAACGTTGACTAGTGATGCTTGTATTCCTTGACCCTTCTCTCTTCTCTAATTTTCTTCTTCTCCCCTCTCTTTGGGCTTTGCTCACTCCAAAATGTAATTAAATTAAGAGAGAAATTTAAAACCAAATCTGTGAAAAATACTTTTGTGTGTGTGTGTGTGAAGAACACTCAAACGCCGTCACCGTTAAAGGCGGCTTAAATCGGGTGTCCATGTTACAATGTTTCCTCTTATTGTTGTAAAATTAATAATTTTCGTTTTTAGGATTGGACATTTCTTTGTCTGGAGATAAGCTGTGGGTCTGGAAATTAAATGATAACAGCAGAATCAGATATCAATAAGTGGCTTTTAATTACAGATAATTTAACGATTTAACGGTTAAGTTGAGCAGTAGAGTAAATGCAGTTTTTAACCGGAATATTTGAAATTTTCTGATGAATAAAAGTGTATGAAAAATAAAAGTATTTGCATCTTTTAACGCAAATTAATGTCATATTTGCAAAACTAATGAAGAAAAAAAATTGTTTCTGTTGATATTTTCAAATTTTTGTTACTACTTCCCTCCTTTCTCTCCTTTGCTTCTTATTTTTCTCTTTATCTCTATCTTATCTTTCTCCATCTCTCTCTTCTTTTTGTTTTCTCTTATTATTTTTCAGAGAAATTTAAAAGAAATAGTCAATTAATCTTTAATCTAATTTATTAACACAAAAAAAAGTTTTCAAATCAAACTTAATTTTTTTAAAAGCTTGAAGAGAGCCTTGAGAGCTGCATTGAGAATGGTCAGAAGATTCCACGATGAAGAAGAAGACGACGTGGAGAGATGATGTCTAGTCGTCTACAGTGACAAAAAGGGCAGAAACCGATAAATCTCTCCTCCATGTGACAATCGCTGTTGGTTGAGAGACGAGGTGGCTGCGGAGCTTAAGTTACTGCAGCAATCGCGGCAGTTTATTACCACGGTTCAGATTTAGTTGACTGATTAAGAAAATTGTTAGGGAAGTAACTATTAGACTCACTTATAATACTTTTATGTTAACATGTTAATAGTTTATTTGACTGAGTAATAAAATTGTTAGGGATACAATTAACTATATTGTTATCTTTGATGCATCCCATCTTGTATGTGAGAATACAAAGTCTATTGCATGATTCATCACATAACTCTACCTAGATACTCTGAGAAGTCATTTGTTGAATCCTTGTGCAATCATTACATCCATTATGGCAAATAAACTAATTAAAACTTGTGGCGGAGATTGAATTGAGATATTATTATCTCATAGAGTAGTTTATTAGAGTCCAGAGAATAAAATTTATGACAAAATTGATATGACTAATATTAGGAGGGTAAAATGATCTTTACTGCTGATCATTAAAATAGTAAATTTTAATTCTCGTGGGCTCATGGTTAAGTTTACAAATTCAACTGCTTCTATGAATATCTTTTTAATGAATTTTGTTTATGATTTATTTTAAATAAGTGATGTTTTAAATTTTGAATGCAAAATTAATTATTATTTATTTTAAATATTGTTTTGATTATTAGTTGTTATGTTAAAATGGATAAGAAATTATGTATATAGAAAAAAAACTAAATATGTACAAAAAATCTTAAACATCATTTAATAAAATGAAGAGAATAGACAATAATCTAACAGATTAATTGCTAAAATATACTATAAGCTAATATATATAATAGACAACTTCATTTAAATGTTGTGTTTGATTCTACAATCTTAAGCAAATTCCACATTTTTTAATTGATATCATTGTATTTCAGTTCCCACTTAGACCAATAGTTTCTTTTTAAAATTCCATAGTTTTTTTATCACAATTGACAGTAACAGTGATTATGGTAATATTTATTCAATTTAACTATAAATAAGTTTTAAACATTATATAATTAGTGATGTGATCCTCTCAAGGATCAACACTCTGAAGCTTGTAAGAGATTGATCAGAGACAAAAGTTTTCGGAATAGACTTATGTTTGAAGAGATGATTAGATCAGGTTGTTGTTCAGAGTTTTTTCGATCACAAGAGAAAAAAGACAAATGAAAAGATGTTGCAGAAGCAGCGATTCACTCTCAAGATAAAACAAACATCTGTTGAGGAGAGAGATGATAAAGAAGCTGCACAAGCAGCGAATCACTCTCAAGAGACAAGAGAATTTTGTCCAGTTTTGATACGAGAAAGAGAGAGTTTTATATGATAAAAATTTTGATGATCCAATCCAGGATAAGTTCTCATAAGAGATTACAAGCTTATTTAAAGAGATAAGATGAGTAAAACCTAGTAAAACTCAAAATTACAAAGAAATGAATGCAAGATTTGAATAACTCTTAGACTACTCCACACCATGTTCTTTCCACTTCTTGGTCGAAATTTGACTTGGGCTTGAATTCTTGTATCAACAATTGGGTTTTGAGAAAAGTAGACACCATTGTCTCCTTAAAAACTTTCTTTTGGAAAATCCATTGGGACAAAACCAAAAGTAAGGAAAAAGAGTACAACTGGACCACTTACCCAATTGTTTATCTACTTGAGCCTGAATCAAAACCAGTGTAGTTTGTAATTCATCTTCTCCAGCATGGCTCAAGTTATCTTCTTCGTTCCATAGATGAGTAGGTATCACGCTAATGCCTTATTTGAACTTATTAGTCTTAGCTCATTTGTTTACAGACAAATCTGCATCGGCTACTAGTTGTTCCTTGATTCCATGCTCTGGTTCAAGCTCTCCTTTCTTGATGCTGTTCAGTATCACATCATCTTCCCCCAGTTTAAAAGGATTTATCCTCAAATCAGGACCATCTACCAAGAACAAAACTAAGTTAGAACCATTAGAACTTGAATTTGGATTATGCTTACCTTGCAAGTATGTCTCAGAAGTTATATGTGTTGAAGTTTGAGGTGTTACATGCTTCCTAGCATCCTTTAAGTCAGAGTATTCGAGTTCCACACGTCTTCCAGCCCCCATACCTTTTCCCTGTCTGTTTCGAGCTCCTTTTTCAGCCTTCCGATGGGTTCTTCATAGGAAAGATGCAATCTATTTATCCAAATTGAATTATGTTCCAACTATCATCATCCAAAGGTTCAGTTGGCCTAAGAAATTCATGCTTATAGTCCTGAAAAACAAAAAATCTTCCACTCGGCAACTCTGGTGCAACATTAGATAAACTCAAAAGAGTTTCTTTATAAGCAGACTTATGACTAGATGACTGAGATAATAGAGTTCTTTGGATATTACCAGATTTGGCAAGGAAGTTTGATTGCTTGTAGGTGTTGTTCTCAGCTTGTTTTCCTTTCTTCTTTTCATCTTGATAAATCTCAAAAGGTGTCATTAGAACAAGAGTGTGCTTCCTGCCCTTGAACTCAAAAGAATACTTGTTGGTGGAGTCATCATGAATCACTTGTCTATCATACTGCCATGGCTTTCCTAACAGGATGTGACTTGCCTCCATAGGTAAAACATCACACATAATTTCGTCTTCATACTTTCCAACGGTTAGAGAAACCGTTACTTGGCTGTTCACTCGCATTTCATCTTTGTCATTGAGCCAATGTAGATTGTATGGTTTAGGATGCTTCTTCACGGTCAAGCCAAACTTATTAACCATGTATTCACTTGCTACATTCGTGCAGCTTCCTCCATCGAGGATAAGATTGCACACCTTGCCTTGCACATGACATCTTGTGTGAAACAGGTTCTGTCTTTGTGCTTCCTCCTCTGCCTTAGTTTGTACATTTAGAATCTTGTTCATCATCAAAAGATCTCATGTAGAAGCATACTCCTCATGCTCTTCCACTGAATCCTAGATCTCTTTTTCATCTGCTGATTCATACTCACCATTGTCTAAGAGAATCAGAACTCTCTTGTTAGGGCATTCACTAGCAATATGTCCTTTTCCCTGACATTTGAAGCACACTATTTCACGAGCTCTAGTAGTGGATGCTTCGGTTTTGACCTTGAAGTCTAGTTTAGCAGGGAATGATTTAGCAGATACTGCAGGCTTGACACTTGGTTTTTCTTCTTTGGAAAAGCTTGGTCTAGCAGTAGATGAACCAGCTCCAAAAGTTGATCGAGATCCTCTTCGCTTGAGCTGTTGTTCGACCAGAATGGCTTTGTAATGTATCTCCTCTAGATCAGCATAGCTTTGCATCTTCACTCTGTCTTGAACTTCTCGATTAATCCCACTTAAGAACCTAGCAATGGTTGCTTCTTAGTCTTCTTCAATACCAGCTTTGATCATCAGAGATTCCATTTCTTGAAAATAATCTTCTGCACTGCTGTTTCCTTGAGTCAAGCGTCTTGGTTTCTGGTGGAGCTCCTTGTGATAATGACTAGGGACAAAGCGTTTCCTCATGAATGCTTTCAACTCATCCCAAGTATCAACAGGTGGCTCTCTATTGCGTTTGCGGCTAGTTGTGATCTGATCCCACCAGTTTATAGCATAGCCATAAAACTCTGTAGCAGCTAGCTTTACCATCTTGAGGTCTGAATACTCTTGACAATCATAGATCATCTCGATTTTCTTCTCCCATTCCAGATAAGCGTCTGGATCGTTCTTGCCATGAAAAGGAGGAACTTTCAGCGTCATGCCTCTCATGTCATCATCAACACGTTCCCTTACTCCTCTTCCACGTCTTGGACTGCCTTGTGAAGAAGTATCATCACCAACATCATTACTAGGCTGTCTCTGCTGAACACGAACTCCATTGGCATTTTTTTTTTGTTGAAATCCCATCGGATTAGGCTCTCCTTGTAGTTGATCAATTCGCTGTTGTAATTCTTCAGCTTGTGTTTTCATCAATTGCTCCAACCGAGCTGCCATGGCTTCCATGAAGAGTTTTTTGTTGTTGTCTCTTCGTTCTTCACTCATTGTGACATGAAAAAAAAAACAGAAAACAAAACTAGTAACTAGTTCTCACAATAGATCAAAAATGCAAAAGTGACTCTTTGTGTGCCACAAGAAATCAAAGCCCTAGAATATGATAGGTTTATTTTTAAACAAACACAGATATGGCCGATGATGAGATCTGATGATAGAAGTTGAAGAGACAAGATGAAAAAAAAAATGATTTTTGAGACACCACAGGTGAGGAACACTTAGATCTATGCAAAAATGATGCAAACTAAACAGATCTAACGCAATTTTTATGGGCTTTCTTTTTCTGCAGAGA